AATCAAGGATATTTGCAAGAAACTTCTTTTGCACAATGATCAGGAAGCGGAATATTTGGTTGCTAAAGTAAGTTTCCTGAATTACGTCACGGCGGATCACATTTTCGTTGTAAAGTAGTCGGTAAAATGCACAAAGAACTACCAGCTCCGTCTTTTCCTCTTTTCCACCGGCAATGAAAATACGTTCGATTGCTGAAGCGGAATGCAATGCTAAGAGCTTTTGTAGGTGAGGGTGAAAATTATTGAGGAACCGAATACAGGCTGTTACTAATCTGTCACGTTTTCCGCTCTAGTCCGCCGAAAATTGCGTGAGGTACAGGGTGCCGTACTGTTCAGTTTTTTCACGTGCTGTTGAGTAGGCAAATTACTCCTGCCCTGATAGCCGTAAAAAGTAAGATATGGTCAAAAGCGCTATTACGAGAAGAACAGACGCATGTTTTTGCCCCTTTTAAACTGATGGAGTGTTGTAAAAAAAGACGGGATTCATTCTAATGTTTCAACAAACAATCCCATACCTAAGAGTTTGAATTGAGATTTTCAATAATAGCGCTTTTTGCCTTTCCGTCATTGGAAAATAGCTATTTGTAGGCTATCAAAGACGGCGGTATCGAAGCGGCAGTTTCGTTCGATTCGCAGCACTCATCGGAAAGATACATGCAATCGAAGGAGACTGAAGATGTTTATCGCACAACGGAACCTCAAACGCATTTTGATACTCGTATTAGGTGCGTTTGATACTCGTATTAGGTGCGTTTCGCCCCAAATCATCTTCGCACTGCCAGCGTATTTGGCAATCTTTCCGTGTTACTACGACCGAAGTTGCGTCATTTAGTGCTCGGCCTAGTGGTGTTTCTGTATTCCTTTGCTCTCCCTTACTGCATCAGGCGCACATGCAAAAACGTTTTTAAACGTTTTTTGCATTTATGCAATGCAGAAAATGCATATTGACAAGGGATTGTCTGTGTGTCTGTGTGTGCGTCTGTGCCGATTTTTCATCTCAAGACCTACAAAAGCTACAGGACTGAAACTTTGAGAACTTAATCTACATGCACGTACGGTCCCCAATCCCCCAAATGGGCGCCCTTGCTCGCGTGATACCCACGCACGGTCTCGCCAAAGTTTTTTACAGTGAAGTTGCTAACTCGGAAGCAAGAAACACTGGAAACCTGAAATTTTATGGTGACGTTCCACGTCCACGCAGGTATTAATGAGCTCAGACCCATCCCTCAGGTATGCGTCGGGCGCGTGAAAGTTTTTTTTCGGGTAAGCTGCTAACTCGGGAACCTGAGAAGTTAGAGGACTGTAATTTTAAGAAAATTTTCCCCGTCCACGTAAATGTTAGTAAGCTCAAGCCAGCCCCCGAGTGTGCATGATTCCTATGTACGGACCCGTCAATTTTTTTTCGGGTAAGTTGCTAACTCGGGTGTCAGGAAGGCTAGAAAGCTGAAATTTTAAGGGAATGTTTCCTGACAGTCCTGGCGTCCAGTCTTAATTTGTTTAGTTAGAAGCTTTTATCGGAAAAACCGGTGCTGATAACGACAAAAACTGTGGGGAACTATGCCAAAAATGCATCTTCGTACTGGCAGTCCGTGCATTGGCCAATTTTTTTAATTCAAAATGCGGAGCAAAAAAGTTGAAAGTTGTACCTTGGTTTTTTGACCACAGAGCCGTGGTGAAGTATACTTTTAGCAATTCGCTACACGCGTGTAATATTCGACAGTAATGATTGTGTTAATTGATAATGTCAAGACTGTTCTAAATCTGCGTTTTTCCATGTTTATTCTGTCTTGAGTGATCAGCTCTATGGGGTTTTGCTAAAGTGTTTGTGTCTCTGGACGCGTCTTTTTTTGAAGAACTTTGTGCATGGTTTGATTTGGCACGCGATTTGCTGGATACGACCGATGAGGATAGATTTCTAGTATTAATCCACCGAGCTTTGGCTTGTTTTTAACTGGATCTTCAAAATTTACCGCACTGCCGATATGGAGATCCAGTGCTGACAGACCAAGGGGCTTGGCTTTGCTGGATTTTTGACTGTAAACCGTGTACGTTCATTAGGTATTTGCGTCTTCTGTCCATAGCGTACATTTTCGAAAACCACCCAAAGTGATTGTACGCATACGTTGTAACACGCTGGCAGCTTTCTGGTGTTTACAACAACATCTTTCTTGTCACTTTTTTGCAGTATCTTGTAAAATTGTAAAATTATTCTATCCGTTCATCATTGCAGATATTGTTTGGAATTGCATAATCAGGCCGTAAAAGCGCTGCGTTATCCGGCAAAATCGGGTAAAGGCTTGGTGGAATCAATTGAGGAGCAGCGAGAACGCGAAATGCAGGTGCGAATTCTTTTTCGAATTTTTAGCTGTTACTGTGAACATTCTATGTGCACGAGAACTGAAAAAGCAAGGAAACAGATGTTTTTTTTTAGCCAGTCCTTATACATTTACTTTCACCTACACATGCATTTCGCGATTTCCGCATATGCCTGCCCATTCTAACAGTTTTTATGCGTTCTGTGCTGTGTAACAGCATTACAAAACGCATATTATCATGGGGTTGTCTGTGTGTGTATGTGGCACATTTTGTCCCGCACTTTCAACACGGCAACCACAAAAGCTAGGCGGCTGAAATTTTGGTATAGTGTTCCGCGTCAGCGAATGACGCGACAAATTTAAATTCAGCATTCCCGTAGCCACGGGTAACACGTACGGCCCCGTGAAAGTTTTTTGCGGGTAAATTAATGTCTCGGGAACCGCGGAGTCTAGAACGCTGGAATTTTATGGTTTTTGACCCCCTATTTACGCTCAACCTTGCCCATTCAAATTCAGCGTTCCCACGCTCTCGGGCGTTACCTACGGGCAAGTGAAAGTTTTTACGGGTAAATTATTATTTCGGGAACCACGGGGTCTAAGAAGCTGAAATTTTAAGGTAATGACCTCTTGCCCACGCTCGACCTTGCCTATTCAAATTGACCGTTTCCGCGCTCTTTCCGCGTTCATCTACGGCCTCTTGAAAATTTTGGCGGGCAAACTATTAACTCGGGAATCACGGAAAGATATTCACCCTTCAAGGTTTCGAATTCAGCTCTCATGCGCTGTTGCGTGAAATTTTTAACTATTTTCCAATGTTTGAACTATTTTTGCATAGACTAAAGTACAAAGCAGTTGAAATTTTTAACTGTTTTCCAATGTTTGAACTATTTTTGCATAGACTAAAGCACAAAGCAGTGAACTGGTGCATGAAATTTTTAACTATTTTTCAATGTTTGAACTATTTTTGCATAGACTAAAGTACAAAGCAGTGAAAAGTTTTTAACTGTTTTTCAATGTTTGAACTATTTTTGCATAGACTAAAGTACAAGGAAGTGAAATATTAATAGGCAATCATTCGATGGGCTGAATTGCACAAAACGCATTATCGCACCGGCTAGTCTGGTGCGTGTTGCTATTTATTGTGCATTCGCGCACGCACGCACACACACACGCACACACACACATACACACACATACGCACACACTGTTAGTGTAATATGTAGCAGTAATCGCTGGACAGAAGGGCTGCGTTAGCTGAACGCTACACGTGAGCATATCACAACAGCATCACTAACTCCGAAGCTCCACACCAACTGTCGTTGCGATTATACTAGCCTTGTC